CTATTAAAACTGTTTTTGAAGTTATCTAAAGTACCTCAACAGTATCGAGGTTTCAAGAGGGGGGGGGGACGTGAAGTGGTTATTACATACGTCAGACAACTACTCACTTGGCTAGTAATTAAGTACAATCAATTTTATTCTACGTTGGTGATTGATCGAAATGTTTTTTGTGCATGCAGTCGAGCCTTCCAGATTGTCTCATGGGTAATGAGGTATCCCTGACTTGCCTTTACATTGTCGTACCCTCCACAAGTCTACCGGGCGCGACTCAAGCACGAGTTTTATAAGGTATATTCAATCAACTTACACCTACGAATTATTGTATCTTGATGCCATGTTAGTCTAAAATTAGAGGTCAACCTCAATATTGATCATCAATAACATTAACAGGTCATTACAAAGTGCTACTTCCCTGAATTCCAAAGTTTGCACATTTTACCCATTTTAACGGTGTTTGGGTATTATCTATGAAAACGATTAGGATATCTAATGTATGGTCGATAATTAAATTAATAATTTGAAGAAACCCCATTGTCTCCCTATTTTGCAAGTGGAAAAATACATAGTAAAAGAAGGATGCCGAGTCTATTATGTACAATTTGTTGGAGTCAACAAAACTCTTCTAGAAAGTGTGAATCATATTAAAAATGAAAATAAAATGTTTGCATTTGTGACTTAGAAATTTTTGGATTTCTTTTTTTCAAAGTCGCTATTTTGCAACTTAATGGCTTTTTTTATTTTTGGCCATAACATACATGTACATATGTGCACTTAAAAATATTTAACCTTGACTATTTCTATGTACATTCTTTGACTAATTATGCTAGAAATTAGTCGTTTTTTTCTAATTTCAGAAATAATCTAAATAGAAAATAAAGCGTATTTCGCTAATGGATAGAAGTGACTATCAGAGTAATTATATGATGAGAAATTTCCGCAATTTCGTGGATGATAGGAACCTTAAAAATGCCTTTTCTACTACTTAAAGCGGTTTAAAATTATTTTTAATGTGGCAAATTTTTAAAGCTTTTTATAACGAATTTTGGAAAGGTATTGAAAACACGCATGTGTCTTCGCAAAACAGGCCAGTATTCCTCAATGTTTGACTGTGCACGAAAACTATACCACGAACATGGGCTGTGGGTCTTTTATCGAGGATATATCCCAAATTTAGTCGGCATTCTTCCTTACGCTGGTATTGACCTTGCTCTCTATGAGACCTTCAAGACCCTCTACGTCAAAACCCTCAATAAATATGCCGAACCAGGGGAGAAATTGACCGCTCCTCCAGTCTATGTGTCATTGACTGCTGGAGCCTCCTCATCTGTCTGTGGTCAGATAGCGACATATCCTCTAGCTCTAATTAAAACAAAACTCCAAGCAGAAAGTGAAAAGGTATGAAAGTTGTTCACTTTGCTCGCAGAAATGCATTTAAGCAACACATCTTTAGCAGTATTAAACGTTTCTATTTGTAGATATCCCTGAAGCATCTCGCCCAACGGATAGTCAAGCAAGAGGGGGTGATGGGTTTGTACCGAGGAATGGGAGCAAATATGCTGAAGGTCATTCCCGCTGTTAGTATCTCATATGCATGCTATGAGAAGGTCAGAACCATGCTGGGCATGTAGGTTCTGAATCTTCTTTTTTTCGTAAAACTCACATTTCTTTGCTTTGCTTTTGCTTTTTTCTGTAATAAATACTTTCTGCGACCAAATAAAGGGCAGTAATTTGAAAGATGATTGAGCGGGTTGAAAATCGATATGAAATAAATAAAATTTAATTAAATCTCAATTAAGTGCAATGACAAACATATAACCATAATGTAACATTTACTTGGCCAAAAGTGTGCGATTGACTTACCTCCACGTGGAGCAACATGGTCAACGTATACTCATGTCAAAACGTTTATTAACCAGCAGTTGACTTCAGACTACCATTACCCCACTGTATGTAATATGCAACCTCTTCCGTAGTACTCACCTTTCCTTTTATCTGCCTTTTGTCCCTCTGTCTATTTGCATCTTGGAATCACTATTCTGTTTCTCCTTTCGACTGTTTTGTTCAATTTGTTTCTCTACTCCACGAAATCCGAAGACAATTAAAGGACTAATAATAACTATCTAAACACCTGCAATTTGATATAAATAAAAAAATTGGCCAAAGGCAGGGTAGCATGCATTTTAAATTTTGAAAGTAAAAATATTTGAAATAAGTAAAGATTTTTATTGGCGAAAACTTTAAATTACCCACTTGTATCACAATACGGAAACGGATTAATATTTTCGCTAAAAGGAATTTATGCCTTTTGATATTAAACCTAAGTGTGCGAATGGAAAGCAAGAAGATGGGTGGGGATAATAAAAAATTCTATACTACATAAAATTGAAATTTACTGAGTAAAGTTATTATTTAGCTATAAATTTTTGTTTTATGTATTTATTCATATTCGATAGAACATTTTATGCATATATTCAAGTAAATGTGAGAATAATATTCATAACAAAATGGAATACATTACCATTTTTAGCATGTCAAATTTGATCTGAAATTTTAAGTGGCATATATTCCAATTCTAGCGTTTTAGTGTTTCAATATGATCAAAAGACATACTGTATGAAACACATGATAAGAGCATTGAATTTTTATGGATTAAATTCTTGAAAAACAAAAACTACTTTACATATAGTACGTGTGTTGATAATAAAATATAATTATTTTGAACTTCAGGAAATATTCTAATAATGTAACATTAATCGATAATTTAATCTTTACTTGCAGAATAGTCTATACTTGTTTGCATGAAGCATAATTTTAGTTCTCTAGGCAGCTGGGTCAGCCGCGCTCACTAACCTCACTGAAATGCGTGATAACCAGTATTTATAATTATGGTAAGCTTAATATCATTATTAACCTAAACCCTCATGTATTGTATCCTTTGTAATATTGCATTTAAAAGTATTCAGCTTATTCATATTGTTTTAAATTTTATAATAGATATTAGTTTGATGCATAATAAGGTTTTATTTAACGACTTCATTTGAAATTTCGAGTTGAGTAAAATTATGAAGAATTTCAGTAGAACTGTCTAGAGTTTATTTATTTTGTCTATTTTGAGCCACTTCTATTTTATCTTCAAGCAGAATGATGTTCCAAAACCTCATCGAGCCAACATCCTATCAAAACAAAATAAAATACACGATGCTGAGTTGACGCCTTTAGAATACAAACCAGATGATGATGAAATTTTTGGCATTGGTGAAGATACCAATAACAAATTTATTCCAGATAAGAATTCAGCGACTAACTTTAAAAACGACAAGGAAGCCAATTTTGCAACACCTGAAGTGGAAGCCGAAAATTATGAGTTAAAGCCAGATTCAGCTGGAGATTTGGATTCAGGCGTCCCACCAGTGAAAGGTATGTGTTATGCGTATAATTATAGTGAGGGTTATACCAACAATATAGTTTATTCAGTACGACCAAGAAGGAGAAGGCGAAAAAGGTTGGTATTTAATAAAAAGAATGTGATATAAACCTTTTTAGACTTGAAGTCAATTTACTAAATTGTCGATACGACTCAGGTAAGAGGAGAAGAGACCAGAACGAAATTAATGAAATCTCCCTTCGATTTTATCTCTCATTTTCTTCCATTAGTTAGACGAGTTTCACAGAGGTTTGGATTCAGAGAAGTTGGAGAAGATGAAGATTGGAACCTCTATTGGACTGACCTCTCTGTTTCTGTTGAACGCGTTGTATCAATGAAGAAATGGCAGGTAAGTAAGATATTAGCTTCTTAAATCCAGCTTCATATTATTATCTAAACATAATGATACTTTAAGGGAGGTGGAACAAAATAATTTGTATTCAGATTCTCACCTAAGCCAAGGGTAATCAGTACATTTCGGTCCACTATGACCAAGGTGTACCTGCAGATTATTGATTTTCACTCATCTTACCTTGACTATAGTCCGATAATTTAGCTTGTGTTGCGACCAATACAGACAGTTGAGTCCCACACTCTCTCCTCCGCTTGCCTTTTCTATCCCCTTCAGCAAGGCAAACTGACTACATTAACGGACATTTTTATCATATCAAAGGGTGATATCAAATCGTATTCATTGTAGACATCTTTGTATGAAAGTTGAATCACTTTGTTCAATTAAAGTTTCATTGTCCGATAGAGTTTTAAACCTTGGAAATTTTAAGCTAGTTATAAAACAGCATAATTTGAGGTAAAAGGAGGATTTACAGCTTGAACAAAAAATTATAGTTTGGTGATACTCCGTGGGGGGAGGCATTTATCACTCTTGATGATTGCTAGAATTTTTTTACTTTGTTTAATTACATTGAACTAACTAATAAGTAGGAATGTGGGTTTTTTGTCTTCACTATTCAACTGAAGAAAATGTACTCCCTTTTACGATTTCTTATAGCTCCTCGAATATGCTTTACTTCTAAGCTTTGCCTGCTTATAATCATGAATATTTTAGCCTGATCAATGACAAAATATCCTATTGAACCATTCAAGAGAACATCTTCTACAGACTATATACTTATACTTTGGAGTTCTAGAGTTCTAATTGCTTAAATTTTGCTCCATTCGTTCCGCATTTATCATGCCGAGGAACAATATTTCGTTCAATTTAAAGACAGATGTCTTGAAGCATTTCTATTAAGAAATGCGATTGAAGCATCACATTGTCTTCAGTGTATTAATTTCTAGTATCTGGCTATTCGGTTCTTTGAAGTTAGCAAACCAATTTTAAAACTTTCTTAGTTTATTTCTGAATAGTATAATTAACTATACAGAAAGCAGGAGTATGGTCCACAATTCTTCTTTTCTATGATTTTTCCTTTCTGAGCGATAATTCGGTGAAATTTTGCTGCTCCATTCTGGGCTTGAATCTATTCTGTTCTTTCATCATCTTAATGGTAATGTTTAAAAAATATAACTTACTCATCATATTTTAATTTCAGAAAATTAACCATTTTCCGGGAATGTCAGAAATCTGTCGAAAGGATGCGCTTGCTCGCAACCTCAATCGAATGCTAAAACTCTTCCCCAAAGAGTACACCATTTTTCCCAAAACATGGATTCTTCCAGCTGAGTAAGTCAGCTTAAACTCAGACATACTTTAAATAATAAACCTAATTTCTACCATTTGCGTTAGTCACTTCAGTTTCAGATAATAAATAATGCATTTACTGTTGAGTGGCTGCGATTTTGTTTATATGTGCCCACAACAATGGGGGGTTGGGGGTTTAGAAAATGCAGGAGAATTCAAACGTTAGTATTTAACAATAGTTAAAGAGTATCTGGAGAGCGATTCTATCATTTTTTCAAGATAATATATCTGGCTCACATAGTACATGGATACTAAATAAGTGTAATACTTGAATTTATTAATATGCGTTAGCTCCCTATAATTCCCATGTAGCCAAAAACCCTAATTGCTTTGATGAATTAGTTGTGATTAGGAAGTGGTGGACACAATAGCAGTTTTAATAACTATAGTAAAACGCAAAAGTTCGCAACTCTCAGCCTTTACATTGCTTAGAGTTGGAGAAATCTTAACAATTAGTAGCAGTAAATGCAAACAATCAGCCAGCCTGTTGCTGAAATGCCCACTTTAATGCACATATAAATAATTTATATTGTAATGCATTTGTGCTCTCTAAAAACGAATCATTCTGTGAGCTACAAGTAAACAATCGCCTCTACTAAATAAGAGGGCCAATTGTTTTATTGCAGATCCCTAAAGATATAAATGGGTACTTGGGTAGTTAGAAAAAATCAAGGAACCGTAAGAAAGTAGAAATAATATGTTCACAAAGAGAATAAGAATTAAATATTGCGCATAAATCGATTCTGAAGGTGGATAGCCGAGCACTTTTTCTAACTGAGCAATCGATTGGGGTAGAGAGAATACGAGACCCCATGTTTTCTCTAATGTATACCAGATTATTATAGTGACTTATAAATTGAAATCAGTGAACTATAAACTTCTTTTCTCTATAAGGTGCGTTTGTTACAGACTTATGGTGTGAAACTGACTCTTTGTGTTATATAACTGAGAGCTATCAAGCCTCAGATGATGACAGCCTATCTATAAAAAGCCGTTGGAAATAAGAGAGGTAGATAAAATCGGATGCTAATTTTCATTTTAATTTGGTATGTCATTTTCCTGCCTCGATTCAAAATACTATTGCGAATGTTTTTGTTGCCTCGTGGTTAATTTTTGGTGCAATTTATCTTTTCATTAATCATGACGCCAATTTGTTGCCAGGTTACGCTTGGACCCAAATTGACTTTCAATATTAGCACCAGGGAAATGCTTTTTTTCCATAGCCATCTCTTTTAATATAAGTGTAATTTTCTAATATTTTCATATTATTTGGTCTTACGAAACTCGCAAAAATGTAGAATCGTGGCTCAGTTCTTGGTTTCATGGTTTTAGATTTCGAGTTAATAACAAATCCTCAACATTTCATTAAACACATCATTTAATCTCTAAAACGATTAGTAATTGAAAAATCGATTTAAGTGACTTTAAAATTAACCCCTGCTACCGTGAGATGTGCACATGAAATTAAAATTTACCTGTACCATTATCACTGTGAGCAACTACCTGAAATTGTCCAGCTTCTCCCTACGCCCTGGATACTAAAATTACTTTATGACAGCTATGAAAATTACATATGAACCATTGTTCCTTTATTCCCGGCAGGGCGATAAATTTATCATTCCTTATCAAAGCGAAGCTACTTAATTCGGGTATCAATAGAAGAGGGATCAAGAAATATTTATTTATATCAAATGGCAGGCGTCTTGATGGTTATCATTTGCCCTTTAGTTGACTTCAGGCTTCACAGAGGGGAAGGAACATCAACTTGAAAAAGTCGATAAGGGGGGGGGGAGCAGAAGAGTGTTTCAAAGATGCAAGAGACAAACACAAAGGTAGAACAAAGGTGAGGTGAGTACTGTGGAAGTATTCGAATATGGCATAGAGTGAGGTGATGGTAGTTTGAAGTGAGAAGTCAACTGACAGTTAATAGACTTTTTTGCCGTATGAGTATACATTGCCCAGGGTGCACCACGTGGAGGTAAGTCTATCGCACACCCCATATAAATAAATGTCGATTCATCGTTTTTGCATTATATCCGCCAAGTTAAAAGCGTTTCTTTCTTTTTATCTTTTCCTGCCTCTGTCTATAACCTCTCTTCTTAACTCCCATCAAGCATTATTTTCTATTTTCCCTTCTTCTGCTTAGGCGCACTATATTATCACGTCTTCTTCTTAAATTATTCAAAACGAAAACGCCAAGTGGCAATCCTTGAGAAAACCCGTCACTTGCAAATGTTTGGTAAGCAAATGAGATAGTCTTGACAGCAAATAAAGGTAGTCATTGTGTCTTAAAGGACACTGTTTATTTCCCAATCTCCTCTTCCATCTCCCCTCATAGGATAACAAGTGAGTTGTTAGCTATTGGCAAAATTGATTAATGCAAATCAAATTAATTAAGTTGCCTTATGGTTTAAGTTTATACATTTTGTCCTTTTGATAATTCAAATATTCCAGAACTTTGGCCTTCCATAGCAAAGTTCACATCCTCCTTCGTTAACGGAGTTTACGGAATGTTATGATCGGTGAAAGTTTGGACTAAAGGAAGAGGAAACAAGTGTAGGAAGTGGAATTCCTTTAATACTGGAATGCAATTGGACGAAGCTAATAGTTTTTACAAAGCAACGGATCGTTTAAAAATCTGCTTCTCTTAAGACTCCTACTTCTGGTTCTTCTTTCGTTTTGTTTATTTTACATCAAATGGCAGGCTTAATGATAGTCATCATTAGCACTTTAGTTGACTTCGGATTTCACAGAGGGAAGGAACATCAAAGTCACAAAAAAGTCGAGGGGCGGAAACATAAGTGTTTTGAAGATGTAAAAGAGACAGACACAAAGGTAGAGAAATAGGAAAGGTGAGCACTGTGGAAGTGGTGAAATCCCTATAAGGAGTTAAGTCTATCGCTCTCTCCGGTTCTTCCTGTGTGCTTGGAAACAGAATCAGTTGCTTTTAGTGGACTTGTGGATCCTTGTTTGCATATATATATTGTCCATTATTTCTT